GGCAGAATGGTGGATTTAATATTCTTAGATGTGTTCCTGTCGTAGACTAGTTTTTGTATAGTTTAAGTTCCCGTATTGTTGTTGTATTATGTAACTGTAGGTGTTATATATACCTGATGTAAATAAATCCTGTATTTACTAAACTGATCTCTGTTACCACTTAGATAGTGTTACACTGTTACGAACAATACAAATGTGTAACATCCAAATAAGAATAACTCAAAAATTTCAAGAACCGTCAACGATTTATCTACGAAAAGGAAAACGTTTGGATTCGGGACGATTCGTGGCATTCCTAGCCCACATGAAATCCGAGATTATCCGTTGTGTCAGTTTGTTTTATTTCGGCTCAATTTTGGGAACCGTCTTTTCGAAGCCAAACACTATTTTTTTTTCAGTCTGGTCAGAAAATTAACGCCTTTACATTCAATATTATACCCGAATAATTTATTTCAGGCTTTAGTGACATCTAAACGAATAAATTACAGACCGGATGTCATATAACTTATTGAAGTATGATATCGGATGTAAGAAGCGCATATATAATATCCTAAAGTTAGGTTCACACCAACGGCACTTTGATGGCGCTTTAAATGGGATATCCCACCTTTAAATAAACAGTCATACTTTAACAAAATTGCCTGTAAAAGAAAGTAATAGTAGACTTTGGTCATTCCCTGGGATTTGCCGGTTCAACGAAATCTATATTCGTCACTATTTTACTATTCAAAGAAACTCTTTGCTCGATGCATATCAAAGTAGAGTGCATATCTCCGAGAATCAAATTAAAGCTTGTAAAGAAATAAGTTTTGTCAACCAACCCTGTTCTTATAATTAAACACTCGAGGGTGTATTCATACAAAATTGAATTGAAGAAAGTGTATAATGTAGTACTATTAAACTATAAATAGTAACGGTTAATAAGGTAGAGAAATTATAACGGAACGGACGGGTGAAATGGGGCTTCATATTGTGCTGCTCCAGCCGAGCTCCTACCGACTTCAGGCTTTCTTTAACACGCACGTTAAGGTGTATAAAGTTGTGGTGTTGGCCACACCCCAACGACCAGACGCTCTGACCTGCACGGCTGAAAAAGGGGAACAACGCCTGAAAATACCGAATAACTTTCTCAGTCAGGGACATCCAGGTAATTACCTTTCCGTCGACTCCACGATGTTTGTTAATGTCTAAGGTCATTATAAAAAGTGGGAGGAGCTATAAGTCTTTGACGGAACGGTCAATTATATTTGTCACACTGCAAGAATGATGTCATATAATCTAAGTCTGAACTAACACACCCTTTTATATATAGCCGCCGCTAGTTTATCAGAGATCGGTCGACTTGATTTACCAATGCAAAGTCAAGCGAGTCGCACTATGAAAGAGTGAACAGTTCAAGTGGATCGTTATAAACGCACACAATTTGATCAATGCAAGTGTTAATGTAAATTCAAGTAGGTTGTCACATGCTGACAAATGTTATGTAAATGTTTCTCCATTACATATTAAACGGAGAACCGTAAAACATCTTGAACGATGTGATGCGGTATAGTAACTCAACCATGGGTACTATATTAAACCCCACTTTATTAAAATGCGATATTTACGACTTTAACCGTTTATATAGTTTATATTATTTAATAGAAATGCGTACCTAAGAATGGCTGTTAGACACAGTAGGGGTTTGGGTTAAAGAAGATCGGAGCCACGGTGGCTAAGACGCTGGCTCGCTAGCCTGGAGGTCGTGTGTTCGATCCCTGCATTGGCTCTGAAAGTTTATCGGGATTTTCCCCTTGTCAGTGGAGCAGCACGGAGGGCATCACAAGGACAGCTGTCTAGTCGTCGTTCGGATGGGACAAAAAGCCAAGGTCCCGAGTATACATTAGTGTACACGTAGAAGATCCCTTGGCAGTTGTACTTCAATATAAGACTAGGCCATAGTGCCGCTTCCCGGCAAAATTTCCCCCATAACACACTGTATAACCTATGCCTATTTTCATTAGCCCAGTACAGGAGCAAAGCAGTAGGACGATAAACCCCTTTTCATTTTCATACATTGTATTATATAATACCCTATATTTTATTACATACATAGCTTAAGGTAACTCACCTTAGTCAAGCGTCCTTGACTAATTGATTAAAAAACCCTTCTAGTGTAACAGAGAGAGAAATAGGGTTTAACTTCCATCTAATTTTATTATTAAGGTTAATTATATTATACCTGTATATTTCATACAAGTTAGCAATTAAATATATGATTTAAAATAGTATTTAGATGTTTTATTATTAATATGTAATATATCATTTTAATGAATATGAATGCGTTAAATTTAGGTGTTTGATTATAGTTATACAGGTTATTTATATTAAAATTGTATAATTTCCGTGTTTTTTTATACAGTTATAATAAACTGTAATAAACTTGAACACTTGTTTGTGTGGTTAATTTACCCGCATTTCGACCCCTTCAACATTAGCCTTGTTGGATGTATTTATTTTCAGCAGTCTAATATCTTGTGTAAGTTCCACACAAATGCCCCAACACCTTGCCATACATGTTTTTAAGGGCACCTGTTTCAACACGAGGTAGGCCATGTCGAACAAAACACATGGTAAAAGATGTATTTCAATAATTTACTTGTATATAGGATTTATTAGCAGTGTGGATGGTGGTGGGAGGGGGGGCGAGGGTCCAGGAAATAATTCACGATGTAAGGCAGGCGGCCCTACAGCCAGGAAATAATTCACGATGTAAGGCAGGCGGCCCTACAGCCAGGAAATAATTCACGATGTAAGGCAGGCGGCCCTACAGCCAGAAAATAATTCACGATGTAAGGCAGGCGACCCTACACCACCCCGACCATTTCTCTCTTAACTATATATTTCCACCCATTGCATTTGTAAACAAGGAATGGGTTAACATATTCATATTGGATTATTCCTTGTGACTGGCACAAAGCATGGCAACAACAGCTACCCAGAAGAATCTGCTATGGCAATTTTTTTAGAAAAGACATTTTGAATTTCAAATAAATTTGTATATATTTTATTCCTTATGCAGTTGAAACCTGGCAGAAATCTGATCAAAATCGGCTGGAATGTGACTTGTTGACTGTGCCAAACGATACCCGGTCTTTGCAGTGCTTTGTAAATGTTTCAGATCGTTACATTTGTCAAGTAAACTAACGCAATCATTGTAAGTAACATAGATGGGTAGGTTGACATTTGAGAGAGAGAGAGAGAGAGAAGAGAGAGAGAGAGAGAGAGAGAGAGAGAGAGAGAGAGTGAGATGAGGTTTCACGTCCACTCGACACAAACTAGGTCATTTCGGGACTAACATATGGTTTAATTTTATTTCAATAATTCGCTTGCGCATAGGGGTCTTTAGCAGTGGGAGGAAACCGGAGGACCCGGAGAAAACCCACGAGGTTGGACAGGCGACCCTACTCCTTGTCACGTACAACCGGGGATTCGAAACCACGCCAGTTGACTCAATGACAGACTTTATGATACAGCGCGCGCACGCTAACCATTCAGCCATCCAACCCCCCAGGTTGACATTTGACATTACAGAATTCATCTTTAGGTAAGCAAAATAGCAACAACATGCTATGACATTTTTAAAAAGACATATCAGCTATGTAAAAATGTTTTCTGTATTTTGTGGACTAACTTTATATAAATTTTATGCATTATGTAGTTTGAACCAGGCATACCCCTAGTTTACTACCTTTTGCTCATACCATTATTGATTTTGTATTTTTTCCATTTTTGTATTTCCTCCATTTCCTAAATTAACAAATGTGGAGTGGCGTTGTAGTAATACCTGTCATTTTCTAAGTTGATTTAGAACTCGATTTTCTGAGAAAACATGTTGATATTGCAACGTGTAATTTGTAATTTAAATGTTCCCGTGTGGATGAAAATTAATTTGAAAGGTCCTCATGCGGATACTCTGACAAACATTTGATTACCCCAGGTTTTTGTTATGAGCAATATTGTTCATTCAGATTTGCATCTAAATAGGGATTGGGTAACAGGCATAGCCTATATTACCCCCACTCCTTTTACCCTGGTTAATACGTCACATACCATATTCCTAACATATTCATGTTCCATACAGCAGACAGTATTTTCGTGGAACAATAAACCATGGATTAAAGACAAAGTATGGATTGGGAATGAAACCGTCCTGTTACAGATCTAATTCCATGCGCACTCCAATAATACCCGGTTAGTACTAAATGATAAGGTCAGCTCAAGTTTTCGTCATAAGTCACAAGATGTAACAGCTAGGGCTAGCGATAATCCAAGCCCTAACCCTAACCCCAATGCTTACCCTAACCCTAACATACAATATCGCCAAAAAGCATGTGGCCTAATCATATTTACATCTCAGCAACCTTGAAAATAATTGAGCTGACCTTAACAAATAGATTTAGCTAATAATACCCACTATGGTGTGTAACAGTGGCTGGAACCGGAAACTGATGGAGTGAAGCTATTTTGAATGCGCGTGACAGTTGAGTATAATCCATGTAAACTGTAGGTTACGGTTATATATACTTATAATACATGTGCATCACTATTTGCGATCGTCTGACCTAGTTTGTGTCGAGTGGACGTTAAGCCCCATTTCTCTCTCTCTCTTGTGGTGCATGTCCAACGCCCAGAGGCAGAGCCACGCCCATTTTCTTTTTGTATGTCTGTGTGTCGACTACAGGCCACAATTCTTAATCGATCGCCTTAAAAAAATTTCGTATGAATTCCTTATACTCTAAGAATGATCCCTATTGTTTTTGGTGCATGCACGACCCCCTGCGACAGAGCCACACCCATTTCTTGTATTTGTTTGTCACCTACAGGCCGCAATTCTTAACAGATCATTTTGTAACTTTGCATACCTATTCCTTATACCCTAAGGATGCCCCCTATTTTTGGTGATTGCCCAACCCCCAGGGGCAGAGTTTTATATAAATAAACAAATAGAATAACGACAATTAATGTTCATAATCTATTTTTATACAAAATAGTAACTTTTAGGCAAACAATCCAAAAACAATCTTTTAGATAATAATATGTATCTAAGACATTGAAGTGATACTTTTTGGCCAATAGTTTAAAACGAATACATTTTGGTCAAGTACTAATACTGGACATTTATCCTCGTGGATAATACATTTACATATTTTAGTTAAAGTTAAGCATTTGCAAAAAGAAATATAAAAGAGCCGACCACATTTGAACCACTCTATCCAAACAAAGGACAGTTATATTTAAAAATAAAACCCCCAGAGCTGTATCGAATGAATGTATATTATTATATTGTATATTAAGGCTTTATTGGAATTTGCATATTTAAGTATTATAAAAATTCTGTCCTCGTGATTATCAATTATTAGTAATTATTCTTAGAAACTTAGATATACACAAAATCACTTGATATTAAACCTAATATATTTACACAACAGGTCAGGTTTATAGTTTATAGTTAGTAAACGTAACTAAATAACTGGTCAGGTTTCTAATAAGTTTATAGTTAGTAAACGTAACTAAAGAACTGACTGTTTCTTGGGTTAAAATATCTTTGAGTTGTTATAAGTTCCCAAATCTATAGAAACAGTTGCTAACTTATAAATCTTATAAATAAACCTACCAGTTGCCTCACTACCAATACGTAGAGTGTTTAATCCCCAACGACTAAAACAATTCTAATTACTATATTGTTAAGTTGATTATCACTAGAACAGTAGTTATAATACCTAAATATGCAAATTTTAATAAAGCCTTTTCGGGTGAAAATGTACAATATAATAATAACGTTTTATTTCGTACTTTTTATTTGGGGGTCCGAGGCCAACACCTCGTAGTCCCCCATTTAGAATACATAAACACGTGGTCCGCATCCATGCCAGGCTCTGTGATGTGAATTGTCAATGTAAAAACCAGGTCGTATTATTAGGCGATAAAAATAAGTACATCATGGAGCTGATATACCATTAATTACAGTAAAATATTTTGACAGACCATTAATAACAACAAAATATTAATGACAACATGAAGATTATAAACCATTAATAACAATACTAATTAGTAATCACAATATGAAGGTGATAAACTATTAATTACAATACAAATTAATAATGGCGGTACCATGGTGTTGATAAATCATTAATAACAATGCAATTAAAAGTATTAGTACCATGGTGTTGATAAATTATTAATTTCAGTAAAATGAGATTGACAGCATGAAGCTGGAAAAACAACAGTGACAGCGTGGAGCTGATAAACCATGAATTACAATACAAATAAATAATGGCAATATGGTGCTGATAAACCATTATTGATGCAAATTAATAATGACAACTTGGAGATAATAAACCATTAATGGCAATACTAACTCACAATCACACCATGGTGCTGATAAACAATTATTGACAATGTAAATAATGACGAAATGGAGCTAATAGACCGTTCACTATAAATTAATAATGACAACTTGGAGATGATAAACCATTAATTACTAATTAATAATCACACCATGGTGCTGATAAACAACATGATGCAAATAAACGAAAGCATGGTCGCGTGGTTTTATTTAATTATCTATGATAAATGAATAATACATATAATACTAACTATGTAGACTACAAACTATAAACGGCAACACAATGATGGCTAAATGTAAGTGGAAAAGCCCCAATAGCAATTTCATAATAGTCAATTTGGCAGTTCCGTATTAAGTATTGTCATAATCCAATTCTAAGCGTCCTACTTTTCAGAATCAACCAACACCTGAAGCGAAGCCGAAACTACCAGGTTAGCGAGTAAGCGTCTTCCTCACTGAGCCACCGCAGCTCGCAGTTGCATTACCCCCCCCCCCCCCCGTTTATATAATGCTGTATTTAATGACCGTTTTGTTCGAATATATTCCGGAATTCTCAGCATTAACACGCATTATAAGCTAATTAGTAGCAATTAAATACATTTTTTATAATTACAGGTAACTTAGAATACTTAATAAATGTAATTTAGAATACTTAAGCAATTAAGTTGTGGTTTATAATCATATATAAGCACGTGGTTCACATCTATACCAGGAATAGTAATTATTACTGTCAATGTAAAACCTGAGCCTTATTATAAGGCAATAAAAACAATAGTAAGTACAGCATGAAGCCGATAAACCATTAATTACGATAACAGATTCGAGACAATATGGCGATTATAAGCAATTAGGAACAAATCAAAATTATAAATGTCAATACAAATTAATAATGACAATATGAAGGTGATAAACTATTAATTACAATTCAAATTAATAATGACGGCACCATGGTGTTGATAAACCATTAATGACAATGCAAATTATTAATGGCAATATGATGCTGCTGATAAACCATTAATGACAACATGGTGCTAATAAAAGAAAGCATTATCAAGTGGTTTAACTTGATTTAATGACAAAATGGTGCTGATAAATGAATTATACCTACGATACTTTGTAGACTATAAACACTACTGATTAATAGCAACACAAAGATGGTAAATGTGAGTGGAAAAGCTTCAATTCGAAATTCCAAAACAATGAGTTTAGCATATGGGTACAAGCTAGTATGAACTTTTGTTAGAATCCGGTTATAAGCATGTAATAAAATGAAATAAAATGAGGTTGAAAGTTCTACTTGTCAGCATTGGGCAAAATCTAGAGCGAACTCGAAACCACCAGGTTAGCGAGCCACCTTCTTATTCACTGAGTCACTGCAGCTCCCGCTTGCAATAATACAAAGAACCCGGATTATATAATGAATTGATAACCGATTTGTTCTAATAAAGTCTGTTATTGTCAGTGGCAATCGTTCAACTATAATAGAGACATTGATAATATTTAGTCAGTTTTGAAATGAAGTAATAGTGCTCTATAATATGACAAAAATAAACAGGGTCTGTACTAAGTCCAATTATTACCGATTACTGAATTAGTTCTTCTAATTTATTTTCGTTTCTGGAACAGTAACGTTTTTTAGTATATCGATTTCCTACTAAACACTTTTCGCCTCGTCGTCGTCGTAATCATCACCGTCGTCGTTTTCATCATCATCATCGTTGTATTCTTCTGATGATTATGATGGTGTACTCAATTCTTCTTCGTCTTTTTTAACAAATTGTTCTAATGTCCTTTTCATTTCATAGTATTTATAGTTATAAACGCCATTACCTACATTCCGACGACTAAACCCCTTCCGTGTCAAACCATCTTCCTGTCCATCGTTATCATCATTACATTCAGGTGTTTGCGGGATGAAACTATTAATATCCATGTGTCGATCATCATAAATAAAACCATCTTCATCTCTAGAATCCAAAATATCATCATCCTTGAAGACATCATCAATATTATCGTGGAAATATCGTTTAGGAATGTAATGGATGAGAAAGACGTCATCTTTTAGTTCTAAGGATATATCTAACTGTTCAACCTTTCTCTTGATATCAAGTCCAATGTGTTGTCTAATAATCCTTACACATTTTTCCTTTAGAGTTAAGCTGAAACAGAACAAATCAAACCTTTCTCTATTTGGTGAATGTAACGCCTCGTCTGTTGTCCTAGCCTTATCTTCCATTTTAAAGTTAACAACGGAAACAATTTCTTCTTTTGGTGCTCCGCTTCGATAAAGAAGTTGTCGAAGTTTATGTCTCTTTTCGCTGTTAAAGTTTTCTAAAGTAACATGCTCATTGTAGTGATTGGTTTGGGTAGATGAAGACTGTAAATGTTGAAGGCAACAGTTTTCAGCAATCAAATACCGAATGAAGCTGGTATTGTGGTTTGATTGGGGCCATGGGAAGAGTAACATTCGTTGAATCAATCGGTTTCTCTGTCTGTTTGGTAAATTTAGGAGATACCTACAATCTTTATCTAACAGAAGTGTCAAACACTTTTGACCAAAACCAAGATCAAGAAATTGTAAGGCTGATGATCCATGTTTATAATCGACAATATGACGATCCGCTCCTACATCTAGAAGTTTATTGATAATATGTGTATCATTGATTTCGGCAGCTAACATTAATGCTGTTTTACCATCGGAGTCTTGAATATTGACATCTCCTCCAGCGTTAACAAGGATATCTACACATTCATTAAATGCCTTGTAATTCACATGCAAATTGTTCTGTAATGAATCAGTTAACGGTATGTTTTGCTGCAAACCTGGAAGGGTTTTGAATGCATTCATACGATCAGTTTGCGACTTTTCTTTTAGCTTTTCGTTGCTGACATTCCTCTTCAACTCAGCTATTTCCGCTTGTTTATACTGTCTGTTCAAATACGAACAAGCAATAACAGCAGCGTGTAAAGCAGTGTGTCCTAATTTGTTCTGTATATTAACATCACATACACGACCTTGTTTGGTTAACAACTCTAAATATATGTTGTTAATCAAATACCCGGCAATAATAACCGGAGTGTTGCTTTTATAGTCTGTGTGATTTATGTCAACACCGTAACCGAACAGCCAGTTAAATTTATCAAATGTAAATTTATATTTCACTTGGGCAAGGAGATGAAAAATATTTTTATTTGTTTGATCAGTTGCATCTCCAACTGGTGACTTTAATCCAATATAATACTCAAAGATTTGTAAATTACCGAGTGTAAGAATATCATGAAGTAATTTAACTCCATTACTAACTATATTAGCACCAGACTCAACTAAAAGTTGGAAGATGGTAAGAGTAGTCCTATAATCCTTTTTTGTAGGATATGAGTAGTCCCGTTTAAAACAATATCTACATGCTGATAAACCATCATCATCAGTACTATTAACGTTATCTTCATCTCCCAATACAAGTTTAACGATGTCTGTGCGAGTAGCGTATTGCACCGCTGTCATTAATGGTGTAATACCTGATTTACTCTTTTGTCTTATATCAGCGCCATGTTCGATTAGTAATGATACTAGTTTTAAACATGAAGCTATATTATCACGGCTGTATCGTATAGCACATGTTAAAGGAGTATCACCATCCACAGTCTTTCCATTAATATCAGCTCCATGTTTGGTTAGTAATGATATTAGTTCTATGCATGTATCTACCTTATAATGACAGTATTGTATAACACGTGTTAAAGGAGTATAACCATTCCCGCCCAGCCCATTAATATACTATTCAAAAAAAGTAGGGGATATTTGATTTTGGGGGCATAATACTAAAATATGCAAATGACTACGAAAAAAGTCACTATAGAACCTAACAGAAGAAACATTTCCAGTTACATGTGACGCCCAAACGCACCAATAGCTACCGCATGGAATGCAGGTGATGCTTGGGATCATCATGGGGGTCCAACCCAAGATTTGCACGACTCTGACTTTGAATGTTACAGTCATTGTGGCATTGAATTCCAGGGTGGAAACATCAGTTTAATTGTTTTAGTGACCAGAAAACAAATTTTGATATGCGTCGGCTTACCCAAAATGAAAGGTTACGTGCCCTTGGCATGCTACAGATCGGCACAACACAGGCGGTTGTGGCGCGGACGATGAATGTTTCTCAGTCTGTCATAAGCAGGCTATGGTCCAGATACCGTGATACACAATCTGTACAGGACAGACCACGCTCAGGTCGACCAAGGGCGACAACTCAAGCCCAGGATCGATTTATCCGTACCTTGGCCTTGAGAAATCGTGTCATCACAGCAAATCAGATCAGCGCTCGTCTTCAAACAGACACTGGTGTGAGAGTGAGTGGCCAGACGATTCGGAATCGACTGCATAGGGGTCACCTTCGCGCCCGACGTCCTCGCGTGATCCCTTGTTTGAGAGATCATCACATTCAGGCAAGACGTCGTTGGTGTAGGGATCGTCAACACTGGGATAATCGACGCTGGAGCAATGTGATGTTTTCAGATGAGTCAAGGTTCACTGTTGATTTTTTGGACAGACGTAGGAGGGTGTGGCGTCGTCGAAACGAGCGCTTCCAAGACGTTAACGTCATCAGACATGATCGATTTGGGGGTGGTTCTGTTATGGTGTGGGGAGGCATCACTGTTGCTGGAAGAACGGCTTTACATGTTGTTGCAGGGCGTGTTACAGGCCAGTACTACCGGGACAACATCTTGGCAGTCCATGTTGTGCCGTTCGCACGACGTCATGGCCGCCGTTTCATCTTCCAGGATGACAACGCAAGATGTCACAGGGCCAGGATCGTTACAGGTTACCTCCAACAACAGAACATCACCACATTACCTTGGCCAGCACTGAGTCCCGACCTCTCCCCCATCGAGCATGTCTGGGACATGCTTGGACAGAGGTTACGTCAACGTCAACAGCGTCCTGCCAATGTCCAAGAACTTGCTACTGCGTTGCAACAGGAATGGGACAATCTGGACCAAAATGACCTTAGACGTCTCATTAGGAGTATGCCACGTCGGATCAATGCTTGTTTGGCAAACAGAGGAGGATTTACCCGTTACTGACTTGGTTGTGATGCTGTGGTAACTTTGCTGTTTGACCCCGGGTATCATTTTACCCTTATAATGGTCAGTCTGTGCCTTACTTAGTCTAACGATCATTTGGAATAAATCGATGAATGTGAACTTCATTTCATTTTGTCATTTGTTTCTTCGTCAGTTTCATTACGTGACTTTAATAACACTTACAAATCAAATATCCCCTACTTTTTTTGAATAGTATATCAGCTCCATGTTGGATTAGTATTGATACTAGTTTTATAAATGTATCTATATTATCACGGCTGTATCGTATAGCACATGCTAAAGGAGTATCACCATCCACAGTCTTTCCATTAATATCAGCTCCATGTTTGGTTAGTAATGATATTAGTTCTATGCATGTATCTACATTATAAAGAGGGTAATGTATAACACGTGTTAAAGGAGTATAACCTTTCCTGTCCAGCCCATTAATATCAGCTCCATGTTGGATCAGTATTGATGCTAGTTTTATACATGTATCTATATTATCACCATGATATCGTAGAACACATGTTAAAGGAGTATAACCGTTCTCGATCATTCCATTAATATCAGCTCCACGTTTGATTAGCAGTGAGATTAATATTTTACATGTGTCGATATTACCACCATGGTATCGTATAGCACATGTTAAAGGAGTACAACCTGTCATGTCCATTCTTTTAATATCCGCCTCATGTTTGATTAGTAATGAGATTAGTTGTATACATGTTTCTATATTATCACCATGGTATCGTATAGCACATGTTAAAGGAGTAAACCAAGACCCGCGCAGGTGATTAATATTAGCTCCATGTTCGATTAGTAATGGTATAAGTTTCATAAATGTATCTATATTATCACTATAATTTTTTATGGCAAATTTTAAAGGAGTATCATCATCCCCGTTCATTACATTAATATCAGCCCCATGTTCGATTAGTAATGATATTAGTTTTCTACATGTATCTATATTATCACCATGGTGTTGTATAACATAATGTAAAGATCCCCTCAAATCCAACCCAGCTTCTTTTAAAACATTGATACAGTTGAGACAATCTGTTGTATTATCAGTGTTTTTTATACAATAATATAAGGCTGTGTAACCCTCTACAGATTTATAGTCAATCATATGTTTAATACTATCATTATTTAATAGAATTGATAACATTTCACCCGATTTAGCAAACATTAGAATAGAATAATCAGGGTCTGGTTTAAGGTCTATATCAGTAATAGATAAAATATATTTAACTGTGTTTAAACTGTTAAACCTGACAGATTCGGTTAAAGCACTCCATAATTTACCTTCATGTCGACACTGTAAACTTAATCCATGAGAATACAGATACTTGATACCTTCAACAAAATCAGATTTTATAGCACATGTTAGTAATTCCAATCTGTGGTTAATATCAGATTGTAACAATAGACATTTAGTAAATAAACATTGCAATAGTGTTATATTCCCCTTAGCTATGGCCTGACTAGTCAATTTAATAAAGTCATGGCTTAATCTCCCGATATCATCAGGTTGCAGCTGATTTAGTAATGTCTCTATTTCATCCATGTTCTCAGATTCTACATTCTTCTGCAATCTAAAATAAACAAGTAATAAGTGAGAATGTTTTTACGCGCCTAAATCCCCCCCAATACCACCAATATTCTCAATTTAAACAAAATAATTCACAGTCAATGTACATAATACAACCTCCATGTTGTAATAGTGTATATTATAAACACAAATATGACTCTCTTTGTTGTGTAATTCAGGTATATTTCCATAATAAAATAATATGAATTAACAACCCATGTTGTATTACACAAGAAGTTGAGTTTTGATACGCACCAAATTCAAACTCATTCAATAGTAGGGTAAATGAAGTTTCCTTATCAATCTTTTTCAGAATTTTAACATGTCCCACATGGCCAAAATTGAAGAAGAAAAGGGTATATTTTGTACGTTTTCAATGTGCTTTGAGTTTCGAGACTGAATATTTGGAACAGTATATATCCTATCGACTCAAATCTTTCGTAAATTGATAAAAGACAAACTGACTTTGCAAATTTTGGAGTTTATGTATACTATAGTGACTTTGCCAGAGTCTGTGGAAATCCTGAAAAAAATAGTGAATAGTGCATTTGTACCACATTTTGCCACCTGGTGGCACAAACTGTGTGAATCGTAGATTGCGTGTGACGCGACATTCGTAATCTACATCTAAAGTTGTCTCAGATTACAAAGTTAGAGAGTTCTACTCCTATTAGCAATGTGAGTTTAAAGCACCCGAAAACCCGAAAAAATTAACGAATTGATGACCCTTCTCAGAGAATTTTGGACCTAAGAGGTTAAAAAATCGGATTTGTTAGTTTAAGGTCACATACTAAAACATATATTTTTATAATGTTTTCGGAGGGGATCATATTCCCACCATTGGTCCAGTTGATATGGAATGACCCAGGAGGATACCTCTAGCAAGGAAGATCTGATCTGTACGAAACAGTCCACGCATTTTAACTAAATTGAAGCACACAGATGGATCCCGATATGGTTTTTTTTCTAACACTATTTATTCAATAAATATTTACATAATATAAAAATAATATATATAAATCTGTGATCTGAAAACAAGCCGGGGCTTACATAAATTCATCTCCCTATTTACAATCATAAATTATATAACGGTTTTTTAATTTACAAAGAAAAATGTACATGTATACTCTCAATGTTGTTATATTATATCGGACATATCGTAGTTTAAGTACAAATGGGGTTAATATACAAAAAGTAATGTAATATAATGTAATGTAGTGTAATGTGGTGTAATGAGGGTAAGCGAAGCAATTATTGTGGATGGGGGAGAGAGAGAGAAATTCTGAAGTCTAATATCTAAAACGAGCAATATAGACGGTAGATAAAACCAAATGAAAACAATAAGTATCATCATTCAAAAGGAGGTAAGTAGAAGCACCAGCAGGACATCTTAATTGTCACCATTCGAGCAAGATGGTGTTAGTAGAATCAGCAGGACATGATAAGTATCAACAGTCAAGAGACAGTAGGTGAATACAGCGGGGTGCTGTAAATAAGACCAGCAGAACAGGATGAGTATCGTCAGTCGATAAGTATCAGGACATGGACGGATTATCAATCAGGGAACAATAAATAAAATAAAATAAAATGAAATAAAGTAAAATAAAATCTGGTGACGGTAAGTAAAACTCACCATGACACGCTATGTATAATTAATGAGGAGACGACAATTTAAACCAGCAGGACAACACGATAAGTATCATTAGGGCACGATAAGTGTCACCAATCTAGAGACCCAAGCGTCTCACAATACGTATCAGGACAGGATATGTATCATGAGTTATATAACAATAACTAAACCCACCATCACGCGATAGGTATTATCAATAAAAAAGACGGTAAGTATCATCTACGATAAAGGCCGTCTATCAAAAGGTTGTAAATCAACCCAGCATGACACGATAATCAGCAAGATACCGTAAGTAAAAATATCGGGACACGATATGTAACATCAATTATACCAGCATGACACGATAAGCATCGTGGGTCAGGAATCAGTAAATAGGACAGGCATGACACGATAGGTATTATCAATC